CAGCGAGGGTCCCCCCGCACCCGACGAGCCTCCTCCCCGGAAGCCCCGCACCCAGCCCGCTGCCACCCTCACCGCCGCCACAGCCGCCGACGAGCCGCTCCTAGTACCCCGGAAGTACTCCTTCAGCCCTGAGGCGGCCTCGCCTTCCCGGGAGCACTTCCGGGTCAAGCCGCTCGGGCCGGGAAAGGCTTGGGGCCGCTCTGGTGAGTGAGGGCTCTGTGGGGGGCACTGCGGGGCAGCTGCTGGGGTTGCCGTGGCTTGGGTTGGAGCCGGTGGGTGGGGGTACGACGTGATGGAAGCTAGGGTATCCGCGGGTGTTTTTTTCAAGGCGTGGCCTGAGCTGCAGGAGTTTGGCCACCGTACATTTACTGAAGGACAGGTACCTGCCCGGCACTGCCTTGGGCGCTTGGGACAGACACTCAGGTTTAGGAAGCGACTGTGGCCCTGCCCTGGAGTGGTGCGGACATTCTAGTTTAGAAGCCTACCCTGAAACAGAAGACGGAGGGGGAGGGGGGAAGGACTGGGTGAAAAGAGAGTAAGAAGTGCAGATTGGTAGTTACGGAATAGCCGTGGGATGTAAACTACAGCACAGGGAGTATAGTCGGTAATATCGTAATAACTATGTATGGTGCCAGGCGGAAATATCGGAGGGAACACTTTGAAAAGTATGCGATTGTCTAACCACTGTGCTGTACACCTGAAAGTAATACAGAATAATATTGAATGTCAACTGTAATTGAAAAAAAAATTAATAAAAATAAACAAAATCACAATTACCTAAGATGGTAGTGAGTGCTTTAAAGAAAATGCGACAGGATAATGTGACGGAGAGAAGTGAGGGAACACGCCTCAGGACGATCTGGAGAAGAGCGTTAGGGGCAGGAGGAATAGCAAGTGCAAAGGCCTTCTGCTGGGAACGGCCTTAGCGAGGTCACGGAAAAGAAAAAAGGCCGCTGCGACTGAGGCGAAAAAGAGGAAGATGTGGCCAGGGGCTGAAACAGGCCAAATCTTGTAGGGTCTATGAGCCAGGACAAGGATTTTGACTTTTATTTGGAAAGCAATGGGAAACAATTGAAGGTTTCTATGCAGAGAAATGACATGCTCTGATTTATGACTTTAGATTTACAACTGACCCCTCCTCAGAAAGATGCGTCTCCCAGTAAAGATGCAAGGCGTTAGAGACACCTTCGTTGGGCAGTGGTGTAAAACGAAGTCCCAGGCAGGTGAAGGGACTTGGCCCTTTCAGAACCCAAGTCTTTCTACTCCTTTTAATGCCTTAAAAGAATCATGGTTTTAATGTCCATATATATAATTATCACTTCCTAAAACCCTTCGGATAGTTTCCTTTGCCTTTCATGATGGGTCTCTAAACTGAGGGGCATCAATATCACCTGGGAGCTTGTTAAAAATGCCTGTTCCAAAAAAACTGTATAAGTATAAAATAGGTTATTCCCTCTGATTTTTCTGTTGTAATGGAAAAGTGCATAGAATTTGGGATTTAAGTGTGGATTCTCAGTAAGCTCCTTAACTGTGCCGTAATCTTTAAAATGCTCCTGGGCCCAGTCGGGCGTGGCTCAGCGGTTCAGCATCAACCTAGGATCCAGGCGATGGGGGTTCAATTCCCTATCAGGACACATGCCTGGGTTGCGGGCTCCATCATTGATTCTTTCATCATTGATGTTTCTATCTCTCTCTCTCTCCCTCTCCTTTCCTCTCTCTGAAATCAATAAAGATATATTAAAAAAAATTTTTTTTTAATGCTCCTGGTAATAATTATAGCAAAAATTTCTCAAACCTTTTGGTCTTGGGCTCCCTTTACACTTTTAAAACTTACTGAGAATGTGAAAGAGTTTTTGTGGGTTATAGCTATCAATATTGTTTTCTATATCAAAACAGAACTTTTTTTTTTAAATATGTTTTTATTGATTTCAGAGAGAGAGAGAAACATCAATGATGAGAGAGTCATTGATTGGCTGCCTCCTGCACGCCCCTTCCCTGGGGATTGAGCCTGAAACCCAGGCATGTGCCCTGATCAGGAATCAATCCGTGATCTCCTGATTCGTGGGTGAATACTCAACCACTGAGCCACACCAGCTGGGCTCAAAACAGTTATTAATTTATTTTAAATTTTAAATTCATTGCATGTTAACAAAATAGCATTTCTATGAAGAATATTTTCCAAAATAAACAAAAGAATTATTGAAAAGTGACATTGCTTCACATTTTTACAAGTCCCTTTAATATCTGGCTTAATAGAAGACAACTAGATTCTCCTATCTCCTGTGTTCATTCTCTTGTGATCCCTCATCATGTAGCCTCTGGAAAATTGTACCATACTGTGTGAGAATGAAAGCGAAAAAGGCAAATAATGTCCTAGCATTAGTATGAAAAGTGTTTTGAAAAATGATTTTTAAAAAGTCTCAGGGACACACACATACCCCACCAAGGTCCCTGTATCACACTTTGAGAATCACCAAATTGCAATATTGTTACGACAATCAAAAGAAATATGAACTTGATTTGAAAGTCATTAAAACTATATGCACATTAAAAATGCTGATGCCCAAGTCTCACCTTTATAGATACCAAATCAGTAAGTCTGAGTGGGGCCAAGAAATCTGCATTTTTAACAAGCATCACAGATTAATTTGATGTAAATGGTCTAAGATTTGCAGTTTGGGAAAACCAGTTATAGATCAAATTCACTCTAGTTTTCTGCCCACTAAATTTTTTTAAAAAGCAACAATCATGTTTTCATACCTTCAAAGCTCTCCATTAATAGTTTCCAGAGCCTGAGACTCAGCAAAGTCAGTGAGAAGTTTGTAACAACTACCGTTCTGACTACCAAGTTGATGTCTAAATTCAAAATGTTGAATCTAATCCTGTGCCAAGGACTGAGGTTTTTAACTGTGTCCATCTGTAAAGCTTACAGGTTTTTTTGGACAGATAACTGATAGAAGGAAAGTGGTAAGTCTTAGAATCAGGTAATCTCAGTGAGCTAGGGGACTAACACTAAAAGAAATCCATCTAAAATTAAGAGGGCAGAGGTGACAGTTTAGGTGAAAAGGCTTCTTGAATAAGGTAAAATTTTCATTGGTTATTGTAGAGAGGATCAGATTTCCACAGGAAGATACTGGTGTGGAGGGGCAGGAAGTTTCAAGCAAAAATAACAACTGGAAACGGAACTTGAGGCAACAAGTTATTTGGAAAGAACAGGGCGTAAAACAAGTGTTATTAAGGCTAAGCCATGACAGGAAAGCTGGGAAGATTATAAGATTTAAGCAAAAAAAGGAATGATAATGAGAATCAGCCTTTAGATAAGGAAACTAAGACCACTAGAGATTATAGCTAATTAGTGACAGTAACTAAAGACCAGCCTTGACTTCTAAGTGCATTTCTTCCTTTAGCAAGCAATTACTGTGCATGCAGGCACCGCTGGGCTGTCTAGCTACTTCTGTTTTGCCACCTGAATCTATTGCTGGAGAATTGTGGATGCCAGACTAGAATTTGAAGCTTATCTCATGGGAATGGAAAATCACCAATAGATTTTGAAATTGCTGTGACTTTCTTGGTTTTGTGTTTAGGACCAGTTCTGAGAGGAGCAGTGTTTGGGACATCAAAGGGGTATACTTGGTATAATGTGGTACGTGGTATCCAGGTAAGGTAAAAGGACTATGACCTAGGTTAGGGACTTAGGACTTAATTGAAAAACATCAAGGAGGTGGAATAATAGTACCAATACCATGTATTTGTAATGTACCCACATTAGTTCACCTCAGAGGGTAGCTCACCATTACTCTATGAGGTGGTTACTGTTAACAACCTGATTCAATAGATATGAAAACTAAGGCCTCTGAAACCCACAGCTTCACCCAGGGGTAGGATCAGGCACTCTTAATTCCAGTGCGCCTAACTACCAAGCCATGACGATCCCATAACTTCGATCTTGCAAAACTGGAAGAATTGTATTGTTTAGCTATCATTTTCATTCAAGCTGTGTATATGCTGGACAAGGAGATCTGAGGGTGAGAGGGAGGAGTTCTGTTTTAGTCATACTGAGTTTGAGATACCGGGAGGAGGGGGCAGACTACAGAGAAAATAATGGATAAGGAGATCATAAGTCAAACTTGTTACATCGGTGTTTTTGTCATTTATATCCAGTAGCTTCAGCCAGTGCTTATGGCAAAAAGGATAGAAGTCATAAGTATAACAAATAATCCTGGATTTAAAGCAAAGCTCCAATAAATACAGAACGTATTTCTCAGTGTGCTAGCAAATACTTTGAACTTTGAGCTGAGTGCCCAAATGCCAGCTAGGGGGTACGTGATGGCTCCAAGATACTATTGAGAGAATAGGGGCTATTTTAATTCGAAACTTTTTAGAAAATGGCCCTCAAAATGGTGATTTCTTTGTGAATCTTACTAACCCTCTTATGTTACAGATCCCTGTAATAATGCCTCACTATAAGCAGAGAGGCTTTTATGTTTGTCCTTTGCAAAGGATAGAGGAGTGCTAACAGTCTGCTAACAAAATTGGATCTTCATTTGCTTTTTCTCTTCTTTGCCAATTCAGAATGCCACTTTGACCATTTGTGTGCCAAGGGTAGGGGAACTTCTCCATTTTCATGTGTAACGGTGCAGGCAGAGAAGAGTGAATGAGCTGTAAATACAGCCTAGAACACATTTCATTATGGAGAGTAAAGCAATATCCCAGCACACTTGGAGCAAAAGCCAATACCATCTGGGCATCAGTGTGTTCCTCCCTTCGAGTTATCTCAGAACTGCTTCTACAAACAGCAGTTTTCTCAGCCAACTTACTCTTGAGCCACAAGAACGGAAATCAGCCACATTACTTCCTTATTTACTTCTGTTGAGGATTGGAACAGAAAGCAAATATTTCATAGAAGTTGGCAGGAACAGCAACAAGGCAATCTGTTAAGGATGGCAGTTTAGGCACTTTTCTTCCTTTCTTTTTTAAATGATATAACCAATATTCAGAATGGTTCTGTAGGGTAAAGTCATCTACATTTTTGAGTATTCATGAGCTTAGAAAAGCTTACATTTTACTACACCTAAAAGATGAAAAAGGTGTTGGAATAAACTGGAGTATTACACTTTGCTGGTTTTCTTATTCATGCTGAAGCAAGGTGGTAAAAAATTCTGCCTAGGAACTTCATCCACAAGCATAGCCCTTTTTAACTGTT